CCTACATTTAAATCTTCAAGTCTCTAGACCTTGTTGGCTATTGATGGTAACCATTATTCAATTATTGATGATAACTATGAGTCCTTATACTTAAGGGGTCGAAGTTCGGTCTTTATAAAATTAATAAGCTTGGCCCAGTCAAATAATCACTATTTCCACACATTTTCCGCCAGTGCATAATTAAAATCTACCCGCACTAATTTAAAATTAGTTTATATAACCTTTGAGTGTTTTTCATTAAAGAGCGCTGGATTTTACAAAAAGTATGAAATGCGTATTAAACATACAATGCTAACATAGACATTAAGTTCGATTTTAAAGCCCATCGGATTGGAAACAAAACTTTCGCGACAAATGTAATAATTTTTTATAAATACCCCTTGAAATCAAGATGCAGGCCGTTCGGATGGCAGAAAAACTAGCTTCAGGCAACCCGTTTTCCTGATTTTTCCACACTTGTGGAAATTTTAGCTGCCTATCTCTTACAGACTGGGCAGTGCTCTGATCACAGTCAGACTGGACAAGCAGTTTTATATTTAGAAATGTGTATGATATTTTACTTAAATTAAGCTGACCGTCTCACATCCACACTTTGAATGTCACTTCATAGTCCTCTACTCCTACCCTCGTCAAATTGAAGGAGACATTGCCAATTCGCGTCGACTTCTTGAGCAGCTCGACGTGTTCCAGGAGCAGTTAAGATTAGGCTCCTTTGTAAGCTTGTCAGAATACAGTTTCGCAGCTGGTTTCTGAAAGCGCTTGTGGCTTAATTATAAGCAATAAACAAATAAAAACGAGCTATTGTCTTGCTAGTTTCTTAAGTTGTCCACCTCTTCATTTTAAATTCCCGTTTGCAATTTGGCGGTTGAACCTATTTCATGTATGTATGCAAAAAAAATGTCCACCTGTAGCTCCGTCCAGGCTTCGGAACTTTACATCATTGCTGTTATCATTCAATTTCCTATGCACAAATAAAACATTGTTTCTTTAAATACATATGTAACTGCATTTTGTCGGAAGCGGGCAGGAGAGACGAATTTTTGTAAGTGAACAAAAAGTAATAAATGCGTGAAAGAGTATTTAATCTGAGAAGCTAAAAATTGCTTTTGAGTTAAATTTTATTGATTAATTTAAGAAAACATTCTGACTGAGGTAACTGCGAAATTTATTAAAATAAAGAACGAACTATCCATAACGAAACGGTCGCATCTACAGCATTCTGTGTTGCATCTTCAGCTGCTGGTGGCGATAAAAGTTGTAGAGTTCACGTGACCGCTGCCTGGCCAGAACCTGGACGCGATACTGGTTGAGTATAAGCTTAGACGCCAGACAGCCGAAGTAGCACAGGAAGGCCAACATCAGGGCCAACAGAAGAGCGCCTACTTTCAGTCCACAGATTTGATCGTAACTGAGGCCCACCTGGTCGATGCTTTTTTTGATATTGCAAAGCATAATGCCATAGGTAATTGAAAACACATTTAGAAAGATATAGATCTTACTATAGAATCTACGAAAACTTTGCCACGATTTGAGCAGGAAATCGGGCACTGCGACAATAGCTGCAAGCACGTAAGCGATGAGTCCGGCCAGGATCTGCTTCCATTCATCGTATGTGACATCCATTATGAATGAATGTATTTTATAATGTCAGTATGACAGTAGCAGCCCCTTTGCGAGTTTTAACACCTGGCCAACTTAGAAAACTAGCTTGAATCAGCTTTCCAAATAATCACTTTCCAACACACAAGAAAATGTACTATACAATCTACCTATTATAAGTTTATATACATCTTTGTTGATGCCTATGAAAACATTGATATCTAATTAATTTACTTGATATCCCAACCTAAAAGCGAAAGGTCGCCGGTTCAACTCCAGCAGCAATTTACATTTCTTAAATATGTTATTTTAATTTCTTTTTATCGACAATAAAAAGTGGTAAAAATAAATTGCCAAGATTTTTTGCCAGAAATACTTATTTGCCCATTTGATAGGCAAAGAGAAATTAATAAAAACGAAAATAAAATAAATTCCAAATTATTTCCAGCTGATGATGTGTTAGAACTCGTGCCCTTATCAACCGACGGCACATACTTAATTCAAAATAGCAGCACAGACACACGCACACACACAGACACAGACACACTGCATACCATAAGGTACAATCGCAATTGCAATTGCAATTTTATTATATAATATATATTATTATGCAATATATATTATATACAAATTTATTGAAAGACAAAAACTGTGACAATTATTCTATTCAATCGCTTCTGTGTTTCTCAATTTTAATCAAAAAAATGAAATAAAATTGATCTGTATATATTATACGAAAAGCTACCTGTCTAATTTGGAGATGTCCAATTAAAGGTTTTTGCCAAAAATACCTCGATATCGATATCGATCTATGTATATCGATTGCTTGGAAGGGAAGCAACTTGTTGATCATTTCAAACAAATGTGATCTGTCTGTCCTACGTTCTACATTTATAGCCTGGGTCTATATGCTGAGTAGATACAAACGGAATCGGAGAGGTTTCCTTCTGCCCGAGGGCACAGAAGATTAGCTCGACTAAAGCGATCTAGTTTATTCAGCATAATTCGGTTTACGATCTAATCTTTTTACCCGAAACGGTGGAAAATAGGTGGATATCTGTTGTATGGACAATAATAAACATTCGATTCTGTCAATCCCGAAAATATTATGTTTGTACAGATCTCGCCTTTCCAAAGACTTCATAGCTAGTCGCTATTTATGGATCTCGAAAGTTTGATGGGTTCCGTCTAAATAATTTCTTTCTTTTGTTACACTTTAACATTAATATATTTCAGGTGCCATTGTTTTCTACGTTCAAGACGAATCTTATTTGTAGCTCACTTTCACAATCTCAACAAAAAAAAAAGTTATAGATAGAGACGAAGCAATGATGAAAGATAGATATAGCGATGCGTCGGTACTGAATGTCTGCAATCACCGACGGCGAATTCGTATTCAAGCTGGATATGGTATCGCATCTCCATTGATGGAGAACGTCCGTCCATAACAATAAGGAATTTGATTTAAAAGTCACGCTTCCATCCATCAGCTCCGGCTGCCAAATTATGTGTTTGGCCAGATAACTGGCGTATAGGGGATGGTTGCTAGCTCCGCCCATTTTAGTCGGCGCCTGCGTCTGGCCATTGCCTCATTGGAGCATAGTCCTCTCGCTGGCGTCCGGGGTTGCAAGTGCACTGCTGCCGAGGGCAAGGGTGAGGGCCTGCAGGGGCAGAGGGCAGTTGAACGCCAGGGCGTGAAAATATTCGCGCACGCAAATCGCTGCATGCAATTGAAAAAGGTCGAAGCGTTGAAATTTTCACGCTCGACGCTAAAAACTTTTTTAGCACCGTAATCCTTGGGTTAAGTAAAGCGGAGCCGTTCCATATATATATAATATTTCGATAAGGTCGACAATTAACAATTTAGGGTTTACGTGAAATAATTGCCCCCGAACAAGTGCACTGACGCGATAAAGAGGGGTCTTTTTTTTTTAAATATCTCATAGTCCTAAAGACATGGGCTGAAGTCTCTCACTAGAGCACGGATGTTGTACTGAGATGAAGTATATATAGTTCCGGGCATAACAAATAAAAATCATTTTATCAAGAATTTTGAATTATTATTAACTAATATTGTTGATGGGGGAAACGGCGTCGAGAAATCAAAGGCATTTCGAGAGTTCATCAATTAATCAGCCACTTGTCACACAAGCTTAATCGGAGAAGTGTGCATATCGTCGAATAATTGGATCCTGCATAGTAAATTCATCTTCTTATAAGTATAAGTACATCGAATCCAGTTGGCTGGATTATTGTATCAGAGTTTCGGCTGGCTGAGTATACAGAAAGTAGAATAGTTATATGTTAATGTTCTTTTTAAAAATTTTCATAATTCTTGTGGCGTGTTTACCGAAATTCTCTGGCCTTAAATTACAGAGTCAATCAGTGACGACTTTATTTTTCCAAAGCTAAGCATATACTTCCCATTTATGAAATGAGCTACACGAATCTACATTCGTATCCGGTGGATGGCTACCAGCGCGTCAGCTACTGTCGGACAGCTTCCATGAGGCGAATCAGGGACGACGGCGATAACGCCGCTGGGGACGGCGTTGTCATTTCCAAAGATCTGATCCTTGGGTGCAAGCCAGAGAAGGCCGACGACTTTAGACCGTTTGTCTTTGAACCGACGTGGTGCGTGTACATCAAGGCACAGGACGATGTGGACATGGGCCGATACGTGAAGCGGGTGACATTCCGCATGTCGCCGCGTCTGCCGCTGCGCCTGCATGTGGCTGATGCGTCGCCTTTCGAAATCACCGAAGTGCTAAGCACTGACTTTCCTCTGGAGCTGCAGGTGGACTACCTGGACCCCACCATGTCGCCCACAACTTATATGTACAAGCCGAACGATGTCTTTGACGGCAAATACAATGTGGATCTGCGAATGAATTTCCAGGGTCACGAGCGGAGGGACAAAATGTTCTTTATGAATCCATCGCCTGCTACGCAGCTGACCCTAACGACACCTGCGCCGCCATTAGTGACCCCAACTCTGCCCATAAAGTTGAAATTGCGCGTGGCTCCGCCACGAGATGTGGAGCGGGCTGTAAAGAAGCCAAAATCTGCCAAGTCTTCCACTCCCAACTCGGAAGATTCGGTAACGCCAAATGCGGAGCAGAATTTGATCCCGTTTACTACGCCGAGTGCTCCCAGACCCATATTCAATGTGCGCTTGCCTGCGCTCATGGAAATGAGCCCAGGCAAGCCGTAGTCCTCGTATTAGCTCGCACTCCCACTCGCAAAGCCTTGCCCAGTTGCGTGTCTGTATGTCTTTGCTAAGGGTTGTAGCTGCTCTCTAGCGCCGCCCACCAATGCTCTTGGGGTGGGTTGTGGCTTTGTCGTCAATTTCTGCTGTTGCGGGCCAGCGCTGCTTATCATTTCGTCGTCGCATTTTGCCGAGCTCAGACGTGCTCAAGCATGGCCTGGCTTCCAAGCAGTTCGAATGGCGCGGATAATGCGGACGAACGCAGTACAAACAGCCACTCAAGCTCCCCATCCTCGGCTAACAGCACAGCAGCAGGCGGCGGCGTTACTTGTGTTGGGGGCGGGAGGCGCGAGGAGAGCAACATCAATGGCACCACTCGACAGCCGCCAGCGCTGTTGCGTCATGCCACACCCTATGTACAGCCCAAGACGGAGTCCATATCGGATGGAGATGGTGATCTATCGGATTTCTCGCTAAACGACACCGAGGAGGAAGACGACGATCTGCGTGACTATATTGTCCTTAACGGCAGCCAAACGGACGGTAAGCAGCATGGCGAGACGTGAATCGATTGCCATTAATATCTTCTCCTTCTGTCTAATTCTTCAGCGAATCGCTCCCTGTCCAACTCGCCACGCAGTGCCAGTGGCCAGAATCTCTTTGCCAGTGGGAATCTGGCGCCGCCGGCCAACGGCGGCAGCAGCCAAACTGGTGGACCAGGAACTGGAGCTGGTGGTGCTGGATTGGGAGTGCTCAATGCGGTATCTGGCAATGCTGGCACTGGAGGCGTGCGAAAGGTGTTCACCAACACGCGCGAGCGCTGGCGCCAGCAGAACGTGTCGGGCGCTTTTTCGGAGCTGCGCAAGCTGGTGCCCACACATCCGCCGGACAAGAAGCTGTCGAAGAACGAGATTCTGCGCTCAGCCATCAAGTACATCAAGCTCCTATCGGGCGTACTGGAATGGCAGGAACTGCAGACGCCTCATTCCGACGAGCCCAACAACAACGACAAGCAGATGACCAATGGCCATGCTGGCGACGCACTGCGTCATATCAAATGTGAGCGCTTCGACAGGGATACTACCCAGCGGGCTAGCACCAATGATTTGCTTATGATTGCCCCAGGTGCCCATATCAAAACGGAGCACGCCCAGTTGGGCAACTACGAAGAGCCGCCTAGAATCTGCACGGCAGCTGGCACGCCTGCACCGCCAGCACTTATACTCCACGTACCTGGACCTGTGCCCCCAGTCTCGCCCTCGCCCGTGATTGTGCCCTTGCCCGGAATCGCAGGTGTCTCCGTGGCGGCATCTTTTAAGCCTGCCACAGCCAGTAGAGCAGGCAGCAGGCGGCGCCTCAAGTCAACAACAGAATCCGCAACCAGCGAACCGAACCTCAGCCACAACCCAACCCACAGCCAGAGTAAGCGACGCAAGCCATGAGCCAAATGACACCAGCAACACCACCAAAATAGAATTGGGCATAACAAGTCGAACCATGTGTAAATTAGTTAAATATATATTTAAATTCTAAATTAACAATTAACCAAATGAGCACGTCATGTGCTTCTACGGTATTTCCTAAAACCTTAAATTCTTGGCCGAAGGATTAAGGCTAGCAATCAGCCTGGCTGCCGAGCAGTCTGGCTAGTTTTCCACTCGCTGACTTGGAACCAATCCTCCACTCCTAGCATCAACCAAGGTTGCAAACTTGTTCAAAACCGACCGTTGGAACAGTTGCCAGGATTGAGCTGTTCCACCGGTTGTCCAAGTACTGAAGCCGGCCAATAACTTCTCCAGATCATCTATAATATTGTAGAAGTTTGCTGTTTTGGAATGATTTTAGATAGGATTTTGCATAGCTTCGTCTTGGTGATGATGAGTTACATCATGAGTTACCATATCATATAGATCCCAAGATATTTCATCATGCAGCGCCGTTGATCTCCAATCAGCATAATTTATTTAGGTAATTTCATGAAAACCAAAAAACATTCTTATCGTTCTACGGGTAATATTCGATCTCCTGGGAATATTCATTCTCCTGGGAGCTCTCCAGTGCCTCGTGCCTCTGCAGTTCCTGCAATTGCTGGTACAGATCATAGAGAACTCGAGCGCGCTGCTTTGCCAGTTCCAGGGCTCGATGTTGAGCAAGGATCAGCTTAAAGGACATGCAGGCATAGTAGCAACCGAGGGTAATCATCAGTGCCATTAGGAAAGCACATGCGTATAGCTCACAGATTCTCTCATAGCTCAATTGCAGCCTGTAGATGGTTTGTCGGAACTTGTATAGCAACAAGCTGTAAATAATTGAAAATATTGACACATAGACGTAAACCTTGTGATACCATCTGGTAAAGCGCATCCATATCGCGCGTAGCATAGCAGCTAAGGCGATGGCATGTACGACTATGTCTACGTAGCATCTGGCTAGCATCGGCATCCATTCCTCATAGAGAAGGTCCATCACGAGCAGTTATTTTCGAAATTTGAACTACTCTCCAGTGGGCGGCTTTTACCGCCTGGCCAACTTAGCAAACTAGATCAAATCAGATGCTGCTCCATCAAAGTTCGCAAGCATCTTACACACATTTACTTTACACTTTTAATTATTGCTTATACCTTGATCATCCAGAAAAGAGAGATTCTTGAACAGAACGCAAGCCGCATGCTTAATCTCCAGCAGCCATCTAAATCTACGGCCGTCTCAAGGCACACTCAGTAGGCACACTCCCTGAACTCAGGAGCAGCCCCAGCGATGGTCCTTGCCATGCGCGTGGTGCAAACATGAGACCACAGATGACAAACGTTGCGGACCCCAAGCCCGTGCACTTGCTCCATCTGCTCCATCCCACAGTACAATTCGCAGAAGTGACTAAATATAAAACGACACAGTATATATACATTATATAAGTCCAGTAGAGAGACCAGCTCCATGGGCGGCATGACGCCAAGAGCGGATGACGCAGCAACGTGAGCAAAAAAAGGCACAGCCAGAAGCGTTATATGTTCGGTGCAATAAACGGGGCGGTAGTCGGCGGGAGCACATGTCCTCCGGCGAATCGAGGCGGCGCTGCACGTGAGCATTGGTCAGGTTGCAGGGGGGTTAGAATTTCCCTTAGGGTAGGGAGAAGACGGAGCGCAGCAGCAGTTTTTGTCCACGTGTGTGTAGGAGGAAGCTAGTATGTTTGTGACAGCAGTCTAGCGCGGGGTTCAGGGAATCTCCCAGTCGGCACTCTCGCTTAAAGCAGCCTTTTGTTTCTGTTTGTGCTTTTGCACAATTATTAAGCCCAACACAAAATCCTTAAATAATTGGCTTCTTGTCTTTTTGTTGGCAATATTACTAGGTTCTATATCTCTATATATACAACTATTTCTCCAGCCTGACTGAGTGACTGATTTGTCAAGGCACAACCTGATCCGTAACAGATAGAAATCTGAAACTTTAGAAAACTGACTTAAATCTTAAATTTATTTAAGACGTCATCCACACTTTTATTATGAATATTTCGTTTTTGGGTTCAAGCTACACAGCTCGGGACTAAAATGTGCGGAAAACGTTAATTCAAACTTTTGGTTCTTCATTTTCAAACTCATTTTAGAGTATCTATGTAGGATATAGCTTGAGACATACATTACAATTTCCCGGCCTTGTCCGCGGCAAGTTTTGTGCTTCAAATTTTAGAACTTAACTTTTTCACTCATTTGCCGCCCGTTGACAATTTAAATCCATCCGTGCTGTCATGAACTCGACGTCTAAGGTTATATTTTGCAAAGACGTTTGAAAATAAGTTTAAAGTCGAATAAAGAACCAAATGTTGGAGTCAACGTTTTTTGACCATGTGAATTTTAAAGCCACAAAATAAACTATCGTTTATTAAACATTTGACCCGCGTTTTCCATCCAAAAGCGGCGAACTTTGCGAAACTGAGGATGCTTGGATTCTGCGAAAAGTGTGAAAAACGTCTTAAATGATTTTTGAAAACGATAATCTGTGACCCCCATTTTCCCCAAGGAGAAGGGATAGAGGGATTTCTGCAAATGATTTTAAGGACAATCGGATGATAAACAATAAAGTTTCATTCAACCGTTCTTCACTACTTTTTCACACGTGCACCTCCATCACAGGTAACTACAGTGAAATGTTCAGCTTCCCAGCTCTTACGGCTTGGATCACTTGGATCAATCAATCAATCAGTCAGGTCAAAAAGTTTTGTATATAGAAATACACACATGTATGCACAATTTATGCTAAGCAGGCGCTTCTTCTTCTCCGACCATTGTAGGGCATAAATAATACGACAGCATCCTATTGCCAAGTCTCAAGACTAAGAATTCGATATTCAGTTTTGAGTGGGAGAAAGAACATACGAAATGAAATCGTTACCAAGTTAGGTGTACCCAGCTCCTACAATTAGTTGGCTTAAAAAAAGCATGTCCAAAACTAATTTGACCAATATTATCAAAATAGGACAATATATTGATGAAAAGCGATAAGCATGCTCTGCGTCTGATATAAGAGAATATTATTTGAACAGTTTTAAGTCTCCAGCTTTGGTAATTTTCGAGATCGACATATATAATACATAACGAAATACCTAGAGACATTCTCACAAAATCATCAACGATTATCAATGTGTTCGAGTTATGAAAACTGGATAGGAAATTTCATTTATGACAATCCTTTGAGCTGATGTTAAACTGGCAAAAGGGAATTCCTGCAATAGTCTATAAATGAAACCAAATGAGATAATTTAGTTTTGTAATTTTTATTGTTTTTTACTTTTTAAATTAATGTTCTTGTGTTTTTCATGTTTTTATTGTTGTTTTTTTTTTTTTTTTATCTTTTTTGTATTAATTTTTGAGTGGGTCTTTGTTTGAATTTGGTTAGGTTCTTGTTTTTAAATGTAAATTTTCATTTTGGTAAGCGAAACGCTGAAATTGTTGTTCATATATATTTTCATAGCTTATTATAATTCTTTTGTTCTTTAGTTTTGTGTATTTTGATTTTTTGGGGAAGGGTATTTTTCCGTTTGAAAACGTGTTTAATAATTATTAACTAAAGTGAGTTGTTTGTTCTATGCCTTAAGTGTGTGAGTGTGTGAGTGTGTGTATTTTGTGAGTAGTTTTGTTTTTTTTTTGTTAATTTTGTTAATTTTATTGTGTGTGTTTTAAATATTATTTACTAAAACGTTTTAAAGACTTTAGCTTAGATTGTTCTCAATATTTTGTTAGCTCGAAAACAACTCAAAACGAACTTCAAACCATTCCAAAAAGTACACAGAATGCAGCTATGCGTAAATGTAGAACATAAAATCGAAAGGAATGCAGGCATACATACATAAGTATAATACATACAACTATAATTAGTTTAGTACATATTTGCTTAAGCAAAGAGAAAAATTCGCTACTATTGGCGCCAGAGCTTGCGGAGGGGAAAACAAGCCTTTGGAATCGTCATAGATGGGCAGGTAAACGTTCTAATCAAGGCTCCAGGTGCGACAGGCTTGAGCTGTCCATCTGGAATTTTGAAATATACCTCATGCTGCTAACTTTTCTTTGTGTTTTTTTTTTTTTTTAAATTCTGTTTTTCTGCTTCTTATTGTTCTTGGGTGTCGGGTGATCATTTTTTAAAATAATTCAGATATTCAATTGCAGCTAAATGTTGATTAATTTTACAATTTATGCATAATAATCATTGTTTCATTCGAGAGATTCCTTTGTTTTCCGTGTTAACGTTATTTGATTTTTATTTTGTTTTCTTTTGTAAATTATTATTTATTTTAATGGGTGGCGTCGCTCGCTAAAAGCGTGTTTTATATTTTTTTAATATTATTTTCACTAAATTAAAAAACATATATATTTATATACATATATATTTATATATGCTGTATATATATATATATATATATATATTTATATATATGCTTTTGTTTTAATCAAGTATTATGCTATGTTGTTTATAGATGTTCTTGAGTTTCTCGTTTTATAATCGTATTAAAATGCTAGTGTTGGACTGAAAAACGGTACTAAATAGTTAATATAAGGGCTCTTGGTTTAATAGGACACTGGAACTGGGTTTCGGGTTTGGATTCGTAATTGGAAACGATATTAAATTACGATTTGCGACGTGATTCCGGTATATAGAGCAATTTGTTTATATGCCTGTCTACATGCAATATATATATATATATATATATATATATATATATATGCACTTTATATTATATATATATATATATATATATTTCATATGGGCTTAGGTGATGAGCATATATTTGCCATATGCTATTTGCAAGTTCTATTCGATCATTTTGCATGCATTGTCAAAATTATTTGAATGCTTGTTGTCGATTTGGGTTGGTTTTTTGTCTTGTTTGTTGTTTGTTTCTATTCTTAACTACAACAACAATAACAACAGATCAACATGTATTGTTGTTTGTACGTGTTGTTGTGGTTATATATAAACATTTAATTGTATTTTAAATGGGACAAAAAATTTTGATTTATTTTACTAGGTTTTTGTTTTTGTTTTTGTTTTATTTTTCGCTTATGATTTATTACGTTTGCAAATTGTTTTTTATTGCGTTAGGTTTTTGTTTTTGCTTTTCCCTTTTCCCTTTTTGATTTGTGACACCGTATTTCGTGCGTGCCTGTTATTATGTATGAATTAATTTTTTTTTTTTTTTTTTTTTTTGTTTTGTTCTGTTTTGTAATAATACATATTTGTTACATATGCAGTTAGGCATTTGCTTTGCTTTGTATTTTGTGGGTTTTAGTTATTTTGTTTTAGATTATGCTAAGATTTTGCGTTGCGCCCAATGTACAAGCAATCATACACACATACACAATACAAGCCCACACACACACACACACACACACACACACACACACACACACACATCGCTTACGCACGCTGCATATGCATGTGTGTGTAAACAAACATGTATTTGCGATCCATGAGAGAAGAGCAGGGAAAAGCTTTTGACATAGGGAAAACTTTCGGAAGAACACAACTGCATGCATAGATACAAAATTACATCTGCATGCATGCACATGTGTGTGTGTGTGTGTGTTGGGTGAAAATAAATTTAAGCGCTATTTAAAACAAATAGTTTATTTAACCCTTGCTATTCCTACATATGCGATTTGGGTGAACGTTTTAATTTTTAGACTGGAGTTTCTCTTTACTTGTTTTGCTCTTTCCGTGCTTCTTTCTGTATGTGTGTATGTGTGAAGTTGTAAATTGAATGTTGCTTTATTTACTTTAAGCCCCGTTGCATAAGAGGCGAGCAAAAAAAAATGTTAATAACAGTTCACTGTAAACAACATTTACATTAACATGGCGCCGCCGCTCTGCTAACCCGATGTGCCGGCTGACGTTGCGTCAGCTTCTGCTGCTGCTGCGTCGTTGTCGCCGCTGCCATTGCTGCTGCCACCACCACCACCACCACCACCACCATCCTCGTCACCTGCAGCGCTGCCCTCAGCCTCACCATTGCCGCTGGCGCTGCTGTTCAAGGCGCTGTTCGACTGCGAGCCTGCGAAGGTTGTTGCAAAAGAGAGATAGAGTAGACAAAAATTTTTCTTTGTGAATTGTTGTTCTTGCTGCTGCTGCTGCTGCTGCTGCTATCAGCAGTTGCGAGTTGACAAAAAATAACACATTGAACAGGAAATGCTTATATGGAATTACGTTATGTGACAGAGTGAAAGAGATAGAGAGTGAAGAGCGAGCCGGAGTAGCTATTATGTTCACAAGCATGCAAAATTAGGCGCCTGCACAGCATGGAGCAGACACAACGGGTAAAAAAAAACAAACAATATGTCGCCGCCGCTGACAGCCGTCGCCGCCGCCCGCCCGCTCCCTGTGCACACCCACTAGCAACAACAAAAACACAAAATGAACAAATAAAATAAGGAAAAAATAGGTGAATTCGTTTATATGGTTTTTCTTCGTTTTTTTTTTTTTTTTTTAATTTTTATTATTTTTTATTTTTGTTTTTCAGCATTTTTGTAATTTTGCTCAGTGTTCCATGTCTCATCATATTTATCTTTATCAACAACATTCTTTTGTCTATGCATTAAACCATGAATATTATTGGCATTACAGAAGTAATATGTATACATAACGGTGTATGTGTTTTCTTTATATGTGTCTAGTTGTTGTTATCTCAATTAAATTATTGTTAATCTTTTATTTTATATTGTTGTTGCAGCTCTTCTTCTTCTTCTTCTTCTTCTTCTTCTTCTTCTTGTTGTTGTTGTTATTTAACCAATTTGTTTGTGTGTATGCCTAAATTACTAGGAAAATGTTTATTCAATTTAGTATGTAGTATGTGTGTTCTGCTTTTAATTGTTTATATGTATGTAATTATAATAATAATAATTAGTTTAAAGTAGTTTTAATAAACTATATAAATAAATATAAGTTTTATTTTTACAATGTTTCGCACTTGCATTTGTTAATTGTTGTTAAGTTTGCAACTTGATTTAATCAGAAAAAAAAGCTATAAGAAATTGATTAAGCTGGTTATCGGTATCGGTATCGGTATCGGCATCGGAATCCGTTATATAGTTCTCCAGCTGCCTCTCTGTCTGATCTTTTGTCTAATTCTGATCCTATATTTGAACTCAAATGTTAACATTTGTCTGAAATACATACACATGTATACATATATCTACATATTGCAACTAAACCAGCGATACGAGTACAGTCATATATAGTTGTTTATGTATGTATGCAACAATATGTGTATGTGTGTCTCAATGTTAATTTATTAAGAAGCATATTGTACATACACAGCTACACTATATACTCAGACGGGCAAAAGTCCACGTACAACCTCCACTTTCCAACACTGACAGAACCAAGAACATTGTAAAAAAATTGTTTGGTTTTGATGCTGTTTTAAGAAAACCACATCTATCAAATGTAAACAAATTCCTGTTTCCGTCTGCACAGGACTTTTAACTGAGTTTTAGGTAAATTATAAATGAAACTAATATTGTTTCACTTTTTTGTTTTTTTTTTTTTTTATAATGTTTCTGTTTCATCGAGCAGTATGGGGGTGTTACGTGCACTTGTGGCCGCCTCTCTAAAAGCATACAACAGCTAATATTCTCAGACTGCTCTCATCCAAATATATATATATATATATATATATATATATATAAAAATTAAGTTTTTACATAAAAAATTGTTATTTATGCTGTTGGTGTATGTGTAATATTTTTTTTATTTTATTTTTTTTTTTTTCGTGTTTTATGCTTTAAGTATTTCTCTAAATTTAATATACATACATTATTGTGTATTTATTTTAAATAATTTGATGTATGCATTTGTTGTTGTATTTTTTCTTTCTTTTCCACTCAATGCACTCTGTTTTGTTTTTTATTTATTACAAAATAATAATTATTTAATAAAAATAATTTATTTATTTAATTTATATTTTGTATATATAATGCGTTTTACAAAAAAAAGGTTATAATTAATTTATTAGTTAGGTTTAGATATATTGCAAGGCATTCAATTGCTTGCTTGTGTTTTTGTTGTTTTCATTTTTTGTTTGTTTTGTTTTTGTTTATGCAATTAATTGTAAAATTAACATAATATTAACATTATGTTACTGATTTTTATGCAGCCAAAGCTTATGTTGAATATTTTGTGTAATTGCTGTCACGTTTCTTTCATCGATTTTTGTCGTTCAGGATCAACAAAATTATAGTCATTATTAAATTGTGCAATTAAATAATTTGATGTTTTTGCTTTTATTATTTTTTACTACACATTTCGATTTTACCATACTAAAATAGATTGGTTACAGGAAAAAATAATAATTAAAACAAAAATATGTGAAATTGTTAAATTGAAATTAAATATTCAATGACTTTAAGTTTATAAATGTATGCATGTATATAGGGTATATTGGTGTGCGTGTGTGCATGTGTGCATGTGTGCATGTGTGCATGTGTGTGTGTGTGTGTGTACTATAAAGGGCGACAATTCCACAGGGTTTTGCTTTTACCGCTGAAAGCTGTCAATATTACAGTTTCGCCTGCTAATTTATTTAATTTTCTTTATTAATTAATTTAAAAAAAAAAGTAATTATAATAAAATAATAATTATAATAATAATAAAAACAAGCCAACATTGGCATTAGCAATGACATTGCTATTACAGTTATTACTTTAGTTGTTTTATTTTAAGTTTAAAATAAATTTTATTTTATCTATGTAAAATTTTGCATTACATGTGTTTTATTTTTTTGCTTGCTTTTTTTTTTTTTTTTTTTTTTTTTTTTTTTTTTTTTTTTGAAGCTGCTTGTTTCTTCCTCTTTCTTATGTGTTTATGCATGAGTTTTACAAATACGTATTATTTTTCTATTTTATATGCATTTTCCTTTTGTTTTTTTTTTTTTTATTTTATATATTTTTATATTAATGATCTTTTGAAAATTGCTTTAAATTAATTATGTAATTAATTTTATATTGTGTATATATCAATGTATTTAATTATATTTAGTTTTTGCCGGTTGTGTTTGATTTATGTGTTGTGTTGTTGGTTTTTCTTTTATTTTCTTTTGCATTTCCCATTCTTTATCTGTTTATAGTATACGCGTCTCTGTGTGTGTGTGTATGTGTGTTTGTGTGTGTGTTTGTGTGTGTGTGTGTTGTATAATATATATATATAGATATATTTATGCATATATATATGTATATATATATATAGATATATTTAAATATATATATTTTGATATAGACATAGATATATATACATATATATATATTTGTTTTTTTCGTATGTTGCTATTGCCCCTATGAATCTGTAAATAAACGAAAAAGAAACAAAAGAGAAAACGAAAAATAAAGTAATTTAATTAAAAAGAAAAACAAAAAGTTTTTAAAGCAAATAAATATAGTATATTTATACCCAAAAAAAAAAAAGAAAAAAAAACACTGGCAACTTATAATTACAGTAGGTTTCATTAATTGCTAGCACAGGACGTAACAGGATGTAAAAGGATGAATGGTGGTGGGGGGGGGGGGGGGGGGGGGGGGGGGGGGGGGGGGGCACGGAACATCCATTACATTCGTTTAATATGTAATCAGCATACAAAATGGCACATGCATGATAAATAAAAAAAAAACAAAAAAAAAAAAAAACAAAAAAGAAAAAGCTCTCTCTATCGGTTAGCCAAAGATTGGATACACTTGCAGACATTTAAAAACCAATTTCTTCTATATGATATAGGTGTAATATCAAGTCGGACTCTCTTTTATTACTATGCGCATAGGTTAAAGCTAACTCACTTTTCAAGTAGCTCCCAGTAACGTCTCAGCCCCCGGACTCTATGGCCAACAACATATATGGCCTAGGCCTTAATATATTCTTGTCGTTCCTATTAATTTATTAAGCTATCGCTTCTATTTCCATGCTATTGCTTCCATAGCATTTGAGATATAAAGAAAAACCGAATCGAGCAGATCTGTATTTACTTTATATTTTCTAATAAATGCCTCTCGTGTACTCGGACATATTGTGATCAGACAAACTAGATGGGCTCTTAAGTAAGTCGGGCTATATGGATTGAAGTAATCGCTCCTCCACCCGCAAGTCATCCACACATGCTAGGTTATTTAAGAAGAGAACACATAACAACAGAAAGATGAAGAAAGAGAGCAAACAAAGAATGTTTGTTAACAGCGAGGAATTGGGGAAAAACAAAGCAGGGATGGCACGGATGGCACTCGCCCGATGATGCAACCCAACGCTAGAGACTCCGCTCAGCCTAGGAAAGTATTCTCCAAAAGGGGTTATAGAGCGAGTAAGAAGAAGGTCAGTGAAAATTGTGAAACTTTATTTGAGAACGAAAATATGACAGGTTGTTTTTATTGCATATGGATTAACAGCTCTTTGTTGGCCTGACTTGAACTGAACCGGTAATGAGGGATCGAATGGGAAAAGGATTGCACTTCTAGGTTTAGTTAGTTTTGCGTCGCAACTTGGCCCCGCAACGAATCGAAGTTCGGTTTCGGTCGGGATCTATAGATGGTTGCAATTGGGGTTTCGATTTCGACTTGCTGGGCTTGAATTTGATCTTGTTTTTGCTTTTGTTCTTGATAGTCTTGAGCTGACTGTGAACGGATCTTGCGCTGGGTTTTCGTCAAGCTTGATGGGTTATGCAAGTTAGGCAAGTGGGACTGGGGCTCAACTAAAAGCAAGCAAACCGAGAGAGAGAGAGAGAGAGTGAGAGTGTGAGATAGAGTGAGAGAGGCAGGCAGACAGACAGACAGAGTGAGAGAGAGAGAGAGAGAGAGAGGCTGATCTGTTACGACCGTCGGCTCAGATGCGAACTGGGCACACGCTTACTCACCTGTTATGTTGGCGCCACCAGCATTGCTTGTGGCAATTGCGCCGGCTGCTGTGGCAGCTGCCGCAACGCCACCACCGCCACCGCCGCCGCCACCACCGCCGGCGACAGTTGCTGGCGCATTTGATTGCTGCGCATTTGGAGCCGATGCAACAGCAGATGCGACGGCAGTTGCATTGCCACTGTTGCTGCTGCTGTTGTTGCCCTGAACGCCAACGTTTGCGGCAGCTCCTACTGCTGCTGATGCGGGCGCCTGCTGTTGCTGCTGTGACTGAGCGGCACCATCAGCGGACGCACCGCTGCCCGTTGAGGAGACGCTGGTTGAGCCACTGGCCGCGGCGGGTGCTGCACCGCCGGCTGAAGCGCGATTAGCACCGGTTGTATGTGCTGCATTCTGCAGATGCTTTGGCAACAACTGTGGCACTAAGCTAGGCTGTATCGAGAGTTCTGCAATGCAAGGCGTGTCAATAGATCAATGCGGACCAAGCATATCCGAGGCTGAACTCACCATGCTCTGTAAAGTTAAATAGTGGCGGCATGTCGCGGCCATTGGGCAAGGTGTGATTGCCCTCCATGCGCAGCTCATCGAAGAACGGGTGTGCACAGGCCTTGAGCGGCGTGATGCGGGCGCTGGGCGTGTACTCGAGCAGCTGCGACACCAAGTTGATAGCTTCTGTCGGAGTGCGTATACGGAAAACCTGTGCGATAACAAAATCCAATTAGTTTACAATAATTATCGATGCGATGCAATTACAGCTGACATTTCTTAGGGGCTGGACTGAACCGGGCAGGCTCGCACACAGCGTGAGGTGAAGTGGGTTGGAATGAGACTATCACAATATTAATCACATATATAACATGGATCTATGTATTATATAGTACATATTGCTGTGACGTCCCTGGGCTTAGAATACAGCGGCAACATGGACATAAGGCGGGGCGCAATAAAGAGGCAAGACAACAATCAAGTCAAGTCAAATCAATTTAAATTCAATCAATAAATAAAGACCAACGCATGTAAGCAATGTATAAACATTTTTATAACAGGGACAGCTAAAGCTTTCTATATACATTTGTGTGTATTATCCATGATATGTGAAATTTTCGTATAATTTAACTAAAGATTCTCGCTTTAAATCGGATTAGCTAAGGTGATATTGATCTGGGCTAGAACTGTTATACCTTCTGTATATCTGCTTTGCAGCCATTTCTTACTGTTAGAAATACCCATACGACTTTCACTGTTACTGCACGCTAACAGCTGTCATACCCACCGTAAAGGTGACTTAATTCAAATATAGTACTTTGATTAGTTTTGCCAACTACCCACAACAAAAATGGAACTGATCGACAGCTCGAACTGAAAACAAATGAAGATGCACACACGTACAAGCACTCACGTGCTTCTTTGCTCTCCTTTACGCCATGGGAAATGTAATCATGTAATAGCTTCGGGGTATATATGGTCCAATATTCAGGGCCCTAATATGACAAAGCAAAAAAGGCCTGTAGCTTGCCAATAGATTCTCTATTGACATATAGCACCTATATACTATTTTTTAAACTTTACGTTTATGGCTGCTATAATAACTTCACTTATTTCGGTATATGTATGCCGATTGAGTAGCACTCATATTAAGTTTTTTTGAAACCAAGTCCCTGAATAAAGATTTAAGATGCGATTGGCGCCTGTGCTTGTGGTTGAATTAGCAATTATGTTTTTACCAAGTATATAGGCTAAATACGATCGTACAAGGGAAATTTAACAGAAAGCTGCAGTAGGACTTCTTTTGATCATCCCGCTCTTAAGATCTTGCTACGAATCGTTAAATTTTCCATAACCTCTCATTTTTGGAATTATTTGTCAGTCGGTAAACGAAAAGCAACTAAATGAATGCTAAGACAAATGTAGATTTTCCTATAGCGGATTGATTTCTCCGGCAGGACAGATCTGTCGGGAAAAAGGCTAAATTGGCAACGCTGACTGTGAGACGCAAGTGTATAGCTTCTATGCAAGTGACTTTGCAATAATGAACATGTTTTCGAATTGTTATACATTATGAGAATGTATGCTTTAGAGCAACTTTGATGTATTGGTAAGCCAAAACTGATATTTAAGTCAACAGTTGTGCAACGGTTGTGCCAGCAGACATCACTTTAATCAGCCAATGGCGGCTGGTTCAAATACAGTTACATGTGCGTGCGTATGTACATATGTATGTGTGTGTATGCATGTTGGCGTTGCTGCAGCCATCGCTGCGCAATTGTGTAAGGCAAGTTTTACAGTTATTTTGTTTAAATCTTTATCTTTGTTCGCTTTTCTGTTGCGGCTTACTCTTAACTGTTGTTTCTGGCTTAGGGCGTTTGGAAATTGGGAGCGTTCGAGTAGTGACTGCAACGAATTGTTATTTACACTTCAATTACGACTTGGAAACACACACGAAAAGGAGAGAGAGAGGGAGAGAGCGAGAGAGAGCGAGAGGGAGTGAGTTAGATTGGGGATATGTGTGTGAGAGAGTGAGGGATTCAAATCATTTATATATTAATTTCAATTAAAGACATTCGTTGGATTAATGTTAAGGGAGAGCACCCAAATATTAGAGACATGGTCCAAGATTTATGATCCTCTATGATATTGCACTCATACACATATACATATACATACATATACATATATGCGAAAGGGAAAGGACTGCCTGAAGGATTATTTGATCGATTGGTTTCTTCGCGTGGTGTGAGGTGGAGGATACACTACGATACCTTGGAGGAAGCAACTAAATGAGACTTACTTTCTGCCATGGATGACTTTTAATCTGTGGAAATTTGAATTCCGTATAGTTTGGATTCATTTCGCGTATTTGTTCTCTTGTCGGTGTGCCCAAAACTTTGATCACCTCGACCAGTTGATCGACACCAGAATCACCGGGGAATATGGGCTGTCCCAAAAGCAGTTCGGCCAAAACGCAACCGGCACTCCACACATCTATTTAGGATTAGAGAATTAGAAATTGTGTTAGATGTTAGAGGAAAGCTGTGGGTGCAACACAGGTTTACTAGCTTTGCCTGCTTACCGATCTTAGTTGTATAGTTGATGGCGCCAAATATGAGCTCAGGGGCCCGATAATACCGGGAGCAGATATACGAGACATTCGGCTCACCGTGCAGCAGCTGCTTGGCGCTGCCAAAATCGCACAACTTGAGTACGGCCGTTTCCGGGTCGAGCAACAGGTTCTGCGGCTTGATATCACGATGGCAAATGCCCAGCGAATGAATGTATGCCAAGCTTCTGAACAACTGATACATATAGAGCTGTAGACCAAAAATTTAATTAATTCAGTTAATCTGTTCATTATATATATATATATATAAATTCGTATAAAACTTACCCGTATAAAGTTGATTGGTATCGTCTGCTTGGTTTTGGCATATTGACGTGCCACTTTGTATACAGTTTCTGGTATATATTCGAGGACTAAATTCAAAAATACTTCATCTCGCTGCAATTGAAGGTAATTAAATGGTATTAGAATTAACTATAACTTGCTGTTAATGCTGTTGTTTGTTGTAATGATCAGGCGAGCTCCAAACTGCAAGGCGGGTAGTTTGTTGAAGTTGCAAGTTGACTTCAGCATGCGAAATGTGACGTTCAAGGATCAACGTTCAACGATGGCGATTACGATAACGATAACGATTGTTACAATCGAGTACTTGCGTTGAGCAGGACTACGGATATATACATATCTAGCAGCTAGCCGAAGGAATGCTGAGGGTTTATTTAGTGGCGATAGTTTTGGGTTTTGGCTGATTGGATGTGGTTGAGGGTTTTAGGTGGAGGGCGAGGCGGGGCGTCAAAGCGCCAAAAAAAAAAAAAAACATGCACACATCTCTCAAGCTTCTTCTAGCATGCGGACTTCATCTGTTTCTGCTTATATTCTTAGACATAGAGTGAGAGAGAGAGAGAGGGAGAGAGAGAGAGATAAGAACGGAAAAACAAATAGAAAATGGGAAAGAAAGACAGAGAGCGATAAACGCATAAGAGAGTGAGCATAATGTGCGAATCTTTCGAAGAGTAGTCCCCTCTTCTTGTTGTAGTATTACGTAATATACCTGAGGCTTGAGCACAGCGGCTAAAATGCCCAAATCGATGGGAAATTCGGCCAACTAATTTTATCGCCATGATTCGTTCATATTGATATGTAATATAATAGAAAGAAAATCAGTTGAAATATATATACATATTCAAAATTGAAATTGAAAGCATTTTCGTGTTGCTGTGACAACTCTAGCGCAAATCAGCTGGGAACCCTCAACACTGATCGTATTATATTAATTAATGTGTCTCATTCTTACCTTTTCACCGCTCGAATAGAAAAAGTATAAAAGTTTTACAATGTTACAATGCTCCAATCTGCGCATTATTTGCAATTCACGGTTCTGCAAGCGAGAGAAGAAACAGAGGCTTATTCGTGGAGCAAGGATATTCGTTAGAGCGACGAGAACTTACCTTAAATCGTCTGTCTTGTAAAACTTTTTTGATTGCAACCAATTCGCCGGTATCGCAGAGTTTCGCCTGAAAGACGACCCCAAAGCTGCCATTGCCGATAACTTTTGTATCTGTATAGGAAACTTCTTGAACCCGATCGGTGCCTTGGCCAGGCGTTGCAACGACTGTTGTAATTTTGGAACCATCACGACCTGGGAGGAAGAAACAAATGCACAAATGGTATTATTAAATAGAGTATAGCAATACATTTTTTAACACTAGCGACTATTACCCGGCTATGCCCGAGCTCTATTTTGCTCTTTCATTTTTAGGATGAAGAAAATTCAAATTCACCGTTAACTAATACTTCAACCCAGCGAAATGGATTTTCTTAATTGAACATGATTTTGATATCGATCAGTTGAAAAAGAAAAGTTGCAATATACAGTTTCCACCCATTTTTCGGTGAACTTTCCACAATCGGTGAAACACATTTTCATACAGTTTGTAATGTAAAGTTTTGAAAATTAATTTGATGGCGATGTTTGTAGAATTTCCGTAAAATACGAAACACATGACAACATATGTGTTCACCGAAACTGGCCTTAAGAAACACCAGCCTCTTAAGCAATTTTCACAGTTACGGGTGAAAATAAAGCTTTCACATTGTAAAGCTTTGTGCTGTACATTAATCGAGTAGCAGTCAGTCAATCCGGGCAACAGCTTTCGATTATATAGTTAATAAAGCTTGCAGAGCACACACAACACGACGATATTTTTGGAACCAATCTCGGCAGTACCTGTTGTCTCCCAGGCGCCCTCAAGTTTCTCCTTGCTCCTATCGACCTCCTTTGGAATGGATAATGCGACGCTATGTTCGGGCCACAAATCATTCAATTTTCCGATCAACTGTTTCATGCCTGTGGCAGGATCAGATCGAATCGCATCAGTGAGAGATCGGAGAGATAGAGAGAAAGAGAGATATAGATAGAGAGGGACAGACACCGTGAGAGCTAGCGAGACAGATTGATGAAAGGAGCAAGACTGAGGGTTCGGTACGGGTTCAATCATGGTAATAACATGCAACACATAACCACGATATATGTATGTATGTACATGGGCTCGTCTTTTTATCCATCTTCTTCATCTTCTTCATCTGCTTCTTCGTCTTTTTATCCATCTTCTTCATCTGCTTCTTCGTCTTGCTATTTATTATTATTTTAACCACGTTCTTAGGTATATATTGGTACACGAAGCGCTTCGTCTCAGCTGCTAAACGTTTTACGTGATCGCGCAAATGGCGATCGCTTCACCTATATTATCTATTCATTTGATTTTATTTAATTTATAATTAATTTTGGCATTAGCGCAACTTTCGACGGGTGGCAGCTGCTGTGCCGCATTTGCAGTTCGAGGCGAGGCGAGGCGAGCCGGGCGAGATGGGGGCGAGATGAGACGAGGCGAGGCGAGGCGTCGGCAAGATGAGAATGAGGCATCACTAAAGGTCAACGTTACCAGGAACAGAGAGGGCTAGGCTAGAGAGGAATGGTTTGTAAACGAAGGGATTTGGGGTGCGAGGTAACGTATTAGGGATAAGGACAGGTATGGGAAAAAACTAAGCGCTTGTACTTGGATCCTTGTACTGCTTGCCGGCCGAGCCAGAGCTGCGCGTCTGCAGCTTGGGCTTCTTGAGTGCGGCCAGCAGCGACGCGGACGAGGAGGAGGCGGCCCCAGCAGCTGAAATCGTTGATGGTATTGTCGCTTTGCCATTGGCTGGACGGCCCTTACGGCCGATTGCAGAAGACGAGGACGAAGACGACGACGAGGAGCTGGCCGAGGATGAGCTCTCCGATGATGTTGAACTGCTGCCATCGCTGCTGTCGCTTTTGTCGCTGGACTTTGATTTTGTATCGGAATCACTGGAGTTGCTCGACGACGAGTCTCGCTTCTTATGCGTCGCTTCCACCTTCGCCATGGACGCTGTCGTTCTCATCATCAGGCCCGATGACACCGAGCTGCTGCCAGTGGCATTGGGCAACGAATGGCGCTTGGTCTTCGACTTCGACTTGGTCTTGCACTGTGGCTTGCGTGGCGGCATTGGCGTCCAAGGCCGACTGGTGCTGGCGGCTACAACGGCAGCGGCCTCATGTGCTGCACGCACAGCCTCAATCTCCGAGAGCGGCGCATTGTAATAGTGGCGCGACGACGCCGAGTTCGAATTGTTCGGGTGCAGGCTTCTCGTTTCGCCGGCACTGGTTATGGCTGGAGCGCTGCCAGGCGCTGTTTCCCCAGTTCCATCCGATTCGCTGGCATCGTTGATGGCGCGCTTCTTGCGACGCACTACACGCACCACCTTGCGGAGGCGACTGGACGCCTGTGTCTTATCCACTTTGCTATCAACGGATAACAACACAACCGTGAGAGCGTCTATATAATTCGGCTAGCCTAATATCAGTCGGCCAACGGCCACACACGATCAGCGAGCGGGGTCTCTAGGTCTTTGGGCCACTTGTTGGTGGTTTTGATTTTGTTCCTTTGTTTTTTTTTTTTTCTTTTTTTTCTTGCGATTTTTGGTGGTTTCGGTCAGGCTTTGGCCTAGTTGTGTTAACACTGCGCGCGTGTTTTATTTCTGCCCACTTGACCAACTTTTCTCGCGGACGTCTTGCTTGACGTTTAACGCAGACAATTAATCGATCGATTCGCCCGTTCGATCGATCTTCAAATAGAAATGCTCAGCACAAAAACAAAGTATAAAAAAAAGAAAGAAAGCAAAATCAAATAAATAGCAGCAGAAATTGTCGGCGTTTTAGCTTTTAATCATTTATGTAGCTCTGACCCCGCGCGCGCCCTGCTCAGTATACATCGGCATATATATATATATGTACAAGCACACACACACATATATATAAAAAAAAAAATATATATATATATATATTATACACATGTATATATATATACATATATACATATATATATATATATATTATACACATGTATATATATATACATATATACATATATATATATATATATAAATATATGTATGTAGAAAAGGTATTGATCCGAGAGTAGTTCCGATTCGTATAGCTCTATTATACGTATATAGTAGAAAGGCACTCAAAAGTAATCGATCCGAGAGCTGCGATCTGCGATGCGATCGCTCGAACTTCCGTTGCACAATTGGCCAAACGCTTCTTTCTTGTTGGCTCGAAGCAAACTTGGCGAGGACGAGCGACACGTTAGCGACAATGACAACAACGAACGACAACGACAACGAGAACGAGAACGACAGCTACAACGACAACTCTTTAACGCCAATTGATGCACGATCTGGCGATCTGGCGATCTGCAATCCACAATCCACAATCCACAATCCACGATCAGCAATCTAAGATCCCCAATCAGCTGATTCACTTTGGCTTCGAAGCCGCTGACCGCACGCACGCGACTGTGGCGCGTTTTAAAAAAAAGACCGCGTTTTTGGCTCAGGCTCATGAAAATTTCATAATTATTTCATATTATTTTTCCTTCATTTATTTCTGTTGTTGCTGTTGTTTTTCGGCACTGCAAATTTAATTGCAGGAAAATTGCGAACATAAAGATGCCAAAAGAACATGCGAAGACGATAAGACAGACAGTCTGACAGACCGACAGTTCGACAGACAGAGACAGAGGCAGAGAGAGAAAGAGAAAGAGAGACAGACAGACAGACAGACAGTTGGTGGGGGGGTAAATGGGCATCGCAGAGACTTGGACTCTTGATTCAGGCGCATCGTAGATGGACCATACCGAACCGATGGACAGACAACGATGAGCAGCAGCCAAGCGCAGTCAAGCATGCGACATGTATGTAGACCTCCCACCCCCCCGGTTGGCTAGCGAACAACACGACCATCAAGCATACTAGTGCCCCATTCACTGACAGCTCAATGCAATGGAGACAGAAAGAGAAGGAACGATAGTCAGAGCGGGAGACGGGGAGAGGGGCAGTGGGTAAGAAAGAAAGCGCTGCAATCAAAGGATACGCGCAAAAAGAAGCCAAAAATGAAATGCAATTTATTTCATTATAATGAATCAATTAAAAAATAATATCAGCACAAACAAAGCTTAGCCAACAAATGTGCACAGCCAGTAGATACCCTGCAATCAGGTCTTCTAGTCATTCCTACATTATCCTAAATAAATGTGGGCAGCAGTCGAAAATTTGATTTAAGCCCGATTGCCACAAGATCTTTTGATAAACCAACATTTATAGTTTCAATTTGATTAATATTCTTATATGGTATTTTTTTTGGATCCTCTGTTATATCTCAGAAACCTGCTCGAAATACATAGAAAAGTGAACATTTCTATGATATACAAAAACGAATATATACGAATTCTCTAGCCTTAATATTCTCTGGCACAGACCAGCTGGAGATGCAGATATAGCTAGATTGGCTCAGCCCGTCGTGATCGGAAATACATGTTGCATGTTGCATGTTGCATGTTGGCTGTTGCTTTCTTGTGCCTGTCATAAACATTTTACCCACTTTCGAATGCTACCGAAAAACTAAAAACATGCTAGAGAATTAAATATTTAGATTACGCTTTATATTTATGGATAAGTCTCAGAGTTGAATTATTTACATACTTTTGCATAATACCATTATACCCCATCTGAACATTTGAATGGGTAAAACGATAAAAAGGAGGCCAAGAAAAATGTGGCATACATGGCATTGAAATTGTTTTCGGTACGGGGCGCCACCCTACCACACCACAAATTGGCATACAAATAAAAAAAAGAAAAACTAAAGCATAAGAGACGACACATACAAAAGACAATATGTATATATGTATATGCATATATGTATTTAAACATATCGACAATGGAAGGGCGATATGGTATTGGGTTGCTTTCATTTAACAAGAATATAAGTTTGGAGTTCGAAAGTTCTAAGCAGATCTTGAAGAATAGATTTCGAATAGAATTAACCAATTCAGAATCCCGTTCACGAAGTGAAAAGATACTTGAAATGTGGAATATATACTCGGGTATGCACCCGTTGGATACATTTCTAGGATTATATAGATACTATGATCAAATCGGGAATATCATCAGACTACTCATGAGATTCTCTAAATGCATCGATACATTGTCCACGTGGGAACGTTGCAAATCTGGAATATCAGAATATATAATATAGCTATATTAAAAAGATTCCGGTTT